GCGGCAATTAGCAGGAAAATGTCAACCGGATGATTCTGAAAAAAAATCCCGAAAAAAAATGAAAAATTCCCAAATTAAAAGCGTACCCTTATTTCACTCTAGGGCTCAGTGGAGGGCTGTGACCAGAGCAATTCTCGGTGTCAGCAGCATTCCTTTCCTCTAAAGTGGTTGCCCATTTTCTCTTTGCCAAACTCAACAAAACCATGAGACATAAGAAAGGACGCCTCTGGCAAGTTCCATGGAAGGAAGATAGGATTTTTGCTTGCGCAGAGGCTGGATCCAGTTGGTTTTCTTCTGAGAGGATAGTTTTCTTTGCGAGGCACGGTTTTCGTAGAACCCCCGCGGTTGTTCAAGCGAAGTAACCAAGTCAAAACAAGCACATGATACAACTAGTCGTTGAATCTGGACCTTTTCAGGATAATTGAATAATGATCCTGAAGCGTAGAATTAGGTTTGAGATATTGACGGACATTCAGACATTCCTTTAGGACCTCGTTTCAGACCTCAGCTTTAGCCCATCTTCTACCAACCCCGTCATCTTCGGCTCTACATCACGACATCTTCGTCCTCAAGACTCGGTTGAGGCTTCGGGAAGGTGGTCAGGGAGATGGCGCCGCGGAGGACTTGGGCCTTGACATGAGAAGCTTCACCAAGGTCGGATGGGAACACGGCGGATGAGGTGAGTTAGCTCGATGACCATCACATGACGTTAGAGTTCCTACTTAGTTGTTCACCTCATTTGACTGGGATTGATCCAGGCAAAGCCACACGGCGAGCCCTGCAGTAAGAAAAATCAAAGGTAAGAGTAAGAAGGAAAATGCAGTAGGACCATGACATCATGAGGATGTAATAAAAGAACAGTCACTTGATTTTGATGAACATTCCCTCATCAACCAAGCAGCCCAAAGTGGTCATGATTCAGGTCATGACTTGCCAAGCGAACCACGCAAGATCGACCCGAATGGGGGTTTCCCACATTGGAAGATGGCTTTGGATTTGAGTTTTCAGGGTCTTGCTTCTTTCCATGATCCACCTGGTCAAGTTGTGTGACCGATTCCCACCTGGTGCGACCGATGCAGTCGTGAGCGCAAGCTTTCGCAGCTGTCGCCTTTTCGGCAGTCGCGGTCCAAGCTTTTTGCAGGCCTTTGAGGACAAGGGTGAGGTTCTCCACTATCGCGTCTCGGGGCATCCGCCGGGGAATCCAGACAAAAGTCGTCACCGGGTGGATGGAACCGGCGGCACCGGCGAGGTTTCTGTTTTTTTTTCAAGCTGAACCGTGGTTCATTGCTTGGGTGTTGAAGGTTTTCCACACCCATCTCACCTTTGGCGCCCAACAGATCGCGGTGGAATGATCTAATTATATACAATCGTGCTTGAAGGGCACTTGCAGTGGGAGACATTCACCTACTTTGATGTTACGCAACAAGAAGCTTTGCTTGTCCACTTGATTCTGGACTCTAAGAAACATAACTAATTTAAATTTCCATTTTGACGGGTCTTTTCTGTCCCAGTCTGGGCCTTAGAGATAGGACACATCTGCGGCCCGATATCCTACCATGATCATGATGATCACCCTTTCACACAAAAGGACCAAACACCTCAGGGCCTAGTTCTTGACTCTTGAGACATACCCGAAAGACTAAGGAGAAGCCGAATCTCTCCATCACACATCGCCTCCATCATTCAACTTGGCGGTCGCCGATCCGTTCCGAGGTCGCAGGCCGCCAATATGCGGGAGGCGAGGTGCCCTTTTTCAGACGCAGGACATGATCGTGAGAAGAGGAAGACGGTGGTTTAACCGGGTTACATAAGCTGAAAAACATCTCCATTTCAAGGATGCTTGGTGCCTTGGGGCTTGTTTCACACAGTTTTTGAGGATGATCGCTTCATTTTAGGGTTTGTCAAGTGGAATCCTTTGCAGCTTTTGTTGATGTGTCATCTCACCGGACCTGTGCTTCATGTTCTCTCGTCCCCCCAAAAAAGAAGCTACCATGGATGATTCAAGCTCTGTGACCCAGAAGCCCTTTCGATGTCGAAGCTTCCCAAGTTGCTGTGCGAACGACCCGGTGGCGGAGTGCCGGCACTCGGTGTCAAAGCATGTCTCGTGTCTCAGGCGAAGCACCGGATCCTGTCAGGCAGCATCTTCCGCCGGTGCACCAAAGTGCATGTGGAGAGAGGGTCTTCTTCTTTTCTTGCTGGCCAAACTGAGACATGTTCTTTATTCTGTATATATGTATATATGTATATATATATATGCTCTCTTTCTAGATCCTGAACTGAACTCCTTGAGTGGAAAGCACCTTCAAACGAATGATTCTTCTTTGATCGGTGTCTGACGCGCTGTCAGTCCTCCAGGCGGCGGCCACAGCCCGCACAGCCCGCACAGCCCGCACGGTGGCCACGGTGGCCATGGTGGCCACGGTGGCCACGGTGGCCACGGTGGCCCGGACCTTGGTCATTTGGAGCACCCACACCGATGTCGTAGTCGTTGGAAGATACAAAAAGGAGATGGTGGGCTCATCCTCAGCAAAACAACAGCGGAGGTGGTGGAGGTGGAATCTAGAAATGTGTCGACACCTCTTGAAATGTATGAAACCTGGAGTGATCGTTCAGCTGGATGAGAGAGAAGTTTTCTTTTCTTTTTTTTTCCTAGCTATGGGAAATGAGCTGGCTCTGCACGCTTTCGAGACACGGTGCTGGGCGCTGGCTGTGCACGCTGTTGCAACAGGGTGTCAGTGCCGGTGCTGGTATCAGCTGGCTGTGGGCGCTTGGAGAGGGGGTGTCAGTGTGCTATGAGCTGGCTTTGCGCGCTTTTGAGACGGGCGAGCTAGTCGGATGCTTGCAAGGTCGCGTCTACGCAGAATAAAAAAACGTTTGGGTGTCTTTGGCGATCTGGGTCTATGCTGGCGTAATTGGTTTTTTCTCATTTTTCTACCAAACAAATTGCGTTTGTTCTATCCCAGTAAATGGTTAAGATGGCAACAGAACTGGTGAACCAACCTGTTTGTTTCTTTTGGCTCATCCTTCATCATCCTTCTATGCTCAGGACATGACGAGTGAGAGTCCGAAAAAGGCCTCAACTTGTGCAGAATCACATGCGAAAGAAGTTGAGTTGTAGGTGTTTCACCTGGAATGCTGCCAAGGGCCTGCGAAAGGCCTGAGAACCCCTGAGCCCTGTGCTTGAACTGTTTGTCTTGAACTTGCTTGTATGGTACTAAGAGTTGCCCACTCTTCAAGTGACCCACCAATATTGGTAACCATATCAGTCTGGTGTCAAGTTTCGGCGCTTGGCCATCTGCGTTGAAGCCGGCGACGGCTGACGTTAGTAATCGTTTGGCATCAAGAAAGGACATTGCACTGCATCTGTTTGCGACGGGGAGACACAGGGTGGACAAGCCCCTAGTAGCGTCCTTGCTCCTAGTAGCGATGCCAGGAGCCCGTAATAGCTTCTTGTTACTAGTAGCGATGCCAGGAGCCCCTAATGGCGTCCTTGTTA